CTTTCCTTTGATGCTCTAATAGATACGGGCAGCACATTCTCTTTGATGCAAGAATCCCTTTGGCATTGTATCAAGGGAGAAGAAGAACACTGGCCATCTGCTAGAGGACAGACCTTCACCCTTGCCAATGGATATGTCCAGCATGCTTTAGGTAAGATAGTATGGGAGTGTACCATAATCGGCCATGTTTATCCCCTCAAAGCTTATATCATGAGGGATCGGGATCTGACTTTCCCATTGATAATCGGACTTGAGTTCCTAAATGCATCTAGTGTGGTGTTGGACTTCCATGCTGCCACTCATTCCTTACCAGAAGAGAATAGGATTCATCGGTTTTCTTTCTTTTCGCCTCCCCAGGAAGTTGATCCACTTCCGAGTGCAACTAGATTACATTTAGCTTTGCCTGCTGCCTGGGTCAATGAGACCATGAGAGTTGTCATCAAATAACTTGTGGATACAGCAGATACTGCACGCTCCCAGAAACGACAATTAGAAAGTTGTCTTCTCGATTGGTCTACGGTATGCACTGATTCCCTAGGGAAAACCGCTGTCATAAAACATCATATTAAAGGGGTCATATGATGCGATTTCAAGTTTTCCTTTCTCTTTGGAGTGTTACAAGCTGTTCGTGAATAGATAAGATCCCTGAAGTTGCAAAGACTAAAGTCTCAAAACCAAAGAGATATTCTTTATCAAAGTTAAGACGCTGCCACACCCCCCTAAAACGGCTCGTTCTAACACGAATGATCTTTAAAAAAGCATCATATGACCCCTTTAACGTCAGTGATGAAGGACCAGTGAGGAAACGGGCATATCCCACACCATTTCACAAGCAAAAATTAATTGATGAGGATGTGTCCAAGATGCTGGAAAGGGGGATCATACGTACATCCTTCAACTTCCCCATGGGCTGCACCCGTCGTACTGGTGCCAAAAAAGGACGGTAGCTCTTTAAACGAAAAGACTCCACTGTATGGCTTCCCTATGCCTCAAGTGCAAGATATACTTGCATCTTTGTATAGAGCCTCGGTTTTCAGCACGTTAGATTTGAAAAGTGGTTACTGGCAGGTCTGTATGAAGGAAAGCAGCATCCCTAAAACTGCTTTTGTTACCAAGTCAGCACAATATGATTTCCTTTGTCTACCTTTTGATTTGAAAAATGCTGCTGCGACTTTCCAGCGATTAATGAATACCATCTTACAAGAGCTCATCGGAAGATGTTATTTCATCTATATAGATGACATTGTTGTGTATTCGGCCAATGCTCAGGAACACTTTGGGTATTTAAGACAGCTGTTTGAAAAGTTGGAAGCTTCTGGTCTGACTTTGAACTTGAAGAGTTCCCTTTCATTCCTGGGTCATGTCATCTCAGAAGGGGGAGTAAAGACCAAACCATCTAAGGTTGAAGCTGTACAAAACTTCCCAACTCCCAAAACTGTCGAGGAAGTCCAACGATTCCTTGGCTTGGAGGGGTGGTACCATCGCTTCATATCTAATTTTTCTGAGATTGCAGCGCCCCTTCATGCCTTTAAAAAAATGCCTTGTGGGTATGGACTCGGGAGTGTCAACAATCCTTTGAGGGTCTAAAGCAAGGGTGGCAAACTCCGGTCCTGGAGAGCCGCAGCCCTGCAGAGTTCCGCTCCAACCCTAATGAAAACTCACCTGCCTGTAGCTTCCTAGTAACCGTTCAGACCTTGATTAGCTTGTTCAGGTGTGTTTGATTAGGGTTGAAGCAAAGCTCTGCAGGGCTGCGGCTCTCCAGGACAGACGTTCGCCACCCCTGGTCAAAAGGAAGCCCTGCAAAAAGCTCCTATCCGGAGACCTCCAGATTTCAGTCGACCCTTCAGAGTTCAAACAGATGCCAGTAACATCGGTTTGGGTGCTGTATTAACGCAGGAGATGGAGCAAGGAGAAAACATAGTAGCTTATGCTTCCAGGCTGCTTCGAGGGGCTGAAAAGTCATACTCAACAGCTGAGAAAGAGTGTCTCGCCATGGTATGGGCTGTGCAGAAATGCCGGGAATACGTTGAAAGATGACATTTTGACATGCTTACAGACCATTCAGCACTTACCTGGGTCTTTAATCATCCTAGACCCTTATCCCGACTAACAAGATGGGCCATAAGGCTCCAAAGCTTCAACTTTACAGTAAGGTATCGGAAGAGGACAGTGTAATGTGGTTCCTGACACTCTGTCTTGGGGAATGGAAGAGGGAGTTACCGGGACAATAGCAGTCTCTCAGGCAGTCAGTGCCCCATGTAATTTACCTTTGAACTGGGATGACATTGGGCTGGGGCAGAAAGGGGACGTTGCTCTTAGGCATCTCTGGGATGAAGCCAAAATGTCTGATGGTAATCCAAGTCGCACCTGTTATATCATTCAGAATGGCTATTTATTCAGGAGCACCATCAGTATTATGACCTCAGAAGGAGACCAGACCAATATGAAGAAGGTGACTTAGTATCGATACTCACTCACACACTGTCTCGAGAAAGTGATGCATTATATGGCCAAGTTAGCACCCAAATGGCAAGGACCTGCCAGAGTTACTTCTGTTACTTCGATGTGATTGCTGTTATGGTGTAATTTTCTTCCTAGTCACCAGGGGGGCGATAGCCTCAGGTAAAGGTGATAGAACACCCAACTGAGCAAGAGCTAAGGAAGTAAGGTTAGCCCTTGAAACCATGGGTGCTTCTCATATGGAAGGCTGCATCCTACCGAGGCTGCGTCCTTCCTAGCTCAGTCCTTTAGAGGCTTGTAGGCTAGAGTCCTCCTCGGCGTTAAACGCTAGAATGAGACAGTCTAGTAAGTGCGCGTGGCTACGTCACATATGCTCCCGCCCTCACCGCCACAGCACGAAAATACTAATAAAACTTAATTTTGGAAAAATACTTTGTATTACAAATCTTTATATTATTTTGCTTTCTATTAATGCTATACAATGGCGTCTAGTCTCCCTGTGGCTTAAATTATTGGCAGTTTAGCGTTTATTAAGTAATTTACACCAAAACAAAAGATAACATCTATCCTTTCATGTCCGAAAACATTATTTTTGTCTTACATTGCATAATAAATTCAGACAAGCTCAGTACTGAATCGTTTTTCATCAGTTTATTTTCATGAAATGGAATGGTTACAAAGGATTGTGGGTGATTGAAGGTCGTGGAGGATACATCCCATGCATCCTTCAAATTCAGATGAATGAAGGACGCGAAACGAAGGCTGCCTTCCAAGGATCCTTCCGATTAAGATGGCCTTCAGCGACGTTTGATGACGTGGCAGCCGAGATATGCAGCCTTCGTAGGATGCAGCCTTCCATTTGAGAAGCACCCCATGTGGTAGCTTAGCTCAAGGGGGGAAGACAGATAGTTTTAAGAAAAAGGAGGGTTTGAGTTGGCATTCAGCTTTGTCCCTTCTGGCCTTTAATTGAGGAACAGTTTGTTAAAGACACTCATTGGTGGGCCAATATATGCATGTTTTTGATTGACTGTGTTTGGTGTGTTATCTGGAATCTTTGAATTCTGTGCGGACTTTACCCAACATCTTCTCTTGGATATTTGGATTGCCCGGGTTTGGTTCATTTGATTGTCTTTTCTTTTTCTTCTCCTATTTGCAACTTTACATTTGGATTAATTTTTCTTGCTTTTTGAGGAGTTTTTTCCATCGCTACAGGACTGTGGTTGCGAACTGAATTTATATTTTGTGCATGGACAATCAGATCATTCGTCGCTGTTTTTTTTTTCATAGAATATTTATATTCTTGCCCCAGTGTGTTTTTCCGGGTTGCATTTTTGGACTGAGTTTATATTGAAGGACTGAATGGACATGGTTTTGATTATAGGGTATTACTGCATGGTGGTGGGGTGGTCTTTTGTCCTCTAAATATTCTGTGATATGTACTGATTGGTTGGCAATTATACTCTGTACAAAAGAGTTGGATGGTGTCCCTATTATTTTATCGTGTTACATATTGCCCTTAATGTGGAATAGTTGTTACAACTTGAATGGGTTTTATTCCATCTATTTGTCTAAGCCATTGTTATTTTAGTACATACTATTAGCTTTTGTTAATATTTTGGATTTTATTTTATTTGTATTTATTTTTAGTAATTTTGTTGTGTGTTTAATATTTAATGAATCTATATAGTCTTTATCATTTTTTATTTATTAGTTTTTGTTGAATTTTATTTATTTTAATACTTCAAGATAAACTAAATGAAAATTAGAAATATTTTATTTTATATATAAATGTTTTATATTGGACTTAATTTTATTTAATTTGACGTTAATTTCATTTCAAGGAGCGATTTTTTTATTTATGTTTTTAGTTTTAGGTAATTATAATCCTGCTCTATATGCTAGTGTAAAAGGAACCTTTCAGCAGACATATGCTCTTAAAATGTATGACATTACAGACCAAAAATAATGACATCTTGCATTTAGATCCATATTGTCCAAAATAATTGTCTAACAATGGCAAGTGTTTCCCATTTAGTTATTTTAATATGTCAAGATAAACTAAACAAAAATGCTTATTTGATTTCTTAAAGTTTTTTATTGGAAGGAACATTTTTTGTATGTTTTTATTTAGTTAATTATAACTCTTCTCAGAGCTCATCTATATGCTAGTGTAAAAGGAAACTTTTATGATGTATATATTTAAGATCCGTCTTTCTCCTCCAGCAGTAGCGACCAAAAATAATGCCATTTTGCATTCAGATTCATGTGCATGATGTGCATTGTCCAAAATTGTTGTCTACCAAGCAAGTGGTAAATCATGGTCTATGTAAATTAAAGGTTATTGGCTATTGTACATTTCATTATGTCCTGATTCAGTTCCCCGTTTCCAGCCCTTTTTCAAAAGAAAATACATCTGTGCATTAAAGAACATCTTTGTCTTTTCATGGGACCTTAATGCATATTGTGAATATGTTGTCCATTACCATTTTTACATTAATTCTGCTGTGTATTTATACTTAATGTCATTTTTCTCTGCTTAGGATTCGTCTACGGTGACTCCAGTGACGTTGCGCGTCGATCCGCAGGGATACTTCCTGTACTGGACAGATCAGAATAAGGTAAAATTTCTCAAATCAAAATCCAGTGCAGCCTGATTGAAGTTTGTGATACACACACACACACATATATATATATATATATATGTATATGTATGTATGTATGTGTATATGTATGTATGTATGTATGTGTATATATAAATATTTAATTTATATATTTTTTCACAAGTGCGTCCCAGTTTTGTGTGCAGTGTTTGCTGATCGGGTTGTCCATTGCACTGTTATTCTAGTATTATTGCTATACCACCTTACTATTTATTAGAATTTCATTTATATTTATATATTTTTCATTTTAGTTAAAGCTTTAATTAGGGATGCACCGATATGAACATTTTGGCCGATACCGATAACCGATAATTCTTTATTTTTGAAAGCCGATAACCGATATGTTGGCCGATAAATCTATATCCAAATTTTTAATACCGATATGGTGGCCGATATATCGTGCATCCCTAGCTTTAATTTAGTTTGTTGTCTTGATTAAAGGTCTATTTAGTTTTTATAAACCTTTATTTCATTTTTTTCTTCATTTAGTACTTAAACTAAATGAAAATGAGAAATTTTGCCTTTTCAACTAATTGAAATGTTTTTTATATCTCTCTAATAAGTTTTTTTAATATTCTATTTCATTTAATTTATTTAAATGAACACAATGTAATTTTTATTTATGTATTTTCCATTCAAATTTAAATTTTAGTTAACGTTTTAGTAATTTTGTTGCAGTGTTTTTGTTGTTTTGATGAAATATGTCTTTTTAACTTTTTATAATTTTTATTATTTTTTTTATTTCTTCATCTAGTACTTAAACTTAATTATTTTTATTTTTTTTGCCTTTGCAACTATTTTGAAATAAATGCAAATGAATATTTCTCTAATATGTTTTTAATATTCTATTGTATTAAATTAACATTAAATTGATTATTTTTATTTATAACATTTATATAAAATTTCAATTAACATAAATATATTTTAGTGTTTTTAGTTTTAGTTGACGATAATAACACTAGTCGTGGGATTTCCTGATGTTGAGACTAACCTGCCAATGACATTAAAAGTATTTTTGACATTCAAAATTTCTCTCTTCACCCTTAAACTCAAGTGTCCTGAGCATTAAAACAAGACATTATAGATATACATCTCATCAGAACGAAACAGTTAATTTTATCTAGTGTGGTGTCACTTTCCAAAGTCTGTCCGGAGGGAATGAGGTTGAGTCTTTTGTCCAGATGGAGCACCGGCAGCCAAATGCTCACATCGCCTCAGAGTCTGGCTCAGAGAGATGTCCCACTTTACATGAGCGATTTTCATCCAAGTATGGATGATTTTTCATTTGAACTGTTCCAGAGTCTGTCCTTCACTTTTTGTGTTTGCCTTAATATTCTAAACATGTTCTGTTCATTCAGTGTTGATCTTGACTGATGTACCTGGAGCTGCTGATCTGATAAACAGCATCTAATACATTGTGCTCAATAGTAATTGTGCTGAAATGATCTGATGGAGTTAAGTGTGGGTGAAGAGCAGAACAGATGTCACGCTGTATTAAAAGCATACAGCATTGCTGTATATGATTACACAAGAGTCACAAGCATGTTTGGTATGATAACATCAGTTCATTCTGCCTTTCAGAAAGCGTCAGAAAGCACAGTCGTATCTTATCTTATGGCAAATTAAGGCCATTGAGCTGATAAAACCAGAACATGAAGAGCGCATCTGCCATGACATTGATTTTGAGTAAAAGAACGTTGAAAAATACTTTGCACTTGTTCATTTTACATCTTAATTCACCTCTTTTGATGAACCTAAATTATATTTTGTATTTATTGACTGATTTATTTATTTGTTTGTTTTCAAGACGCAAATGGAAAAAAAAATACTTTGTGTATGATTCATTTTGAAACAATTTTCACTCAAGCATTGCTAGTAAATTTCATAAACAATTGCAAAGAAACTGCAAGTGACACATTCAAGTAAGCATGAAATTTTGAAGTAGAAACAATGGAATAGTATTTTCTTGTAAATGGTGTTATTTTAGGATCATTGGGATAATATTATAGTTTTTATTAATATTTTGAATCCGTTTTTATTTTTATATTTACAGTTGTCATTTTAAGTTTAGTTAACGATTTAGTCATTTTGTTGTGTTTTTGTTTTTATATCTATGTTGATATAGTTTTTAAATGAGTTCATTTCAGTTTTAGTTTGAGTTATTTTAGTACATTAAGTTAAACTAAATTAAAATGAGAAATGTTTGCCTTGGCAACTAGATAAAATTAAAAGTTTTACATTTTAATTTTATTCAAGGTAAAGTGTGACCTGGACATGCTTTGAGAGTAAACTCAACAGGAAGTGAGGTCATATGAGTTGAATGTGGATTTGGCAGCATATAACAGCCTCTCCTCTCCTCTTGCCCTTTTATGTAAGAGAATCAATTATGATTCAGTCGAGTGCGAGTGTATTCCAGCAAACTTTAGCATGTGATTTCTCATGTCAGTTTGTGAAAGCAGCAGTGAGTAACATCAGAATAATATTCATCTGAGTGACTCAATCTTCAGATACCAGATGGTATTGAATAAAACGCTGCTAATTGTGAGGGACTCCGAAGGGCTCGGGACGCCTAAACTGCATTCAGTTATCTGGGCTGCGTTCAGCCCCGACAAAAACGGTGCAAAACGTTTTTTAAACGGAAACGGTGGTGCGCTGAACACACTGTTCTGATGATGCAAGAGTTGCAACTATGGCAGCTGAGAAGGCCATTCTTTGTGCTCTTTTTGAAGAATTTTCGGAGCCTGATGAAATCAGTATAAATACGTGTTTAATACTGCAAAATACGCTCCATGTTACAGTCATTGCCCTTGCCCTCCAGAATAAAAGAGAACATCCCAATCGAGTGAAGGGATTTGTGTAAACTGTGGTTCCTAATTATTGTGATCCAACATTTGCCTCGCATTTCAGGATGAAAAGACAAACATTTCAGGTGAAGGATAATCCACTTCTAAACCGGAAACCGTAGCAAAACGTTGCACACCGGTTTGAGATTGAACTTGCCCCAGATTCAGTGACTGTGCGTATAGATATTGATATTGGCTGAAACAAAAGCATTTCCAGGTCACATTTCCCTTAAAATATAATGAAAAAATTATATATATGAGCATTATAGTAATGAAAATTTGCAAAGTAGAATCACACAATTAAAAACAAAATCACAATGAAATGAAATAGTAATAGTCCTAAAATGGGCTTTGTTTTTTTAAAGGCAAAATATAAATGCTTACCTCATTTTTTTAAAGATTAGGCACATTTTTTAATAAAAAAAAAGAGAAAAGAATAACAAGAATAAAAAATGCAACCATAAATACTTGTTCAATTTAAATAGTTAAATATTTATGGTGTAGTGTTTGTTATCCTGCCCAGTGTTTTTTTGTTTTTTTTTGTATTATTGAGATACAATACTATTATAGTTTTTATTAATATTTTGAATCAGTTTTTTTCTGATTTTTTTCTTTATATAATTTGTATAATTTTGTTTTTCAGTTTAACTTTAGTTATAAGTAATAACCCTGATTCCGCCTTTCCCCCCTTATTTTAATTTGTTTAATTTGTTTTACCCCCCCCCCTCCCATTTATTTATTTTTTAAGTATTTATGGTAGTATTTGTTATTCTGCCTTTGTTTTTTACATGATCACACTATATTACTTAATCACACTATATAGTAAAATGTGCATCACAATGCAATATAATCTTAATGACCCTAAAATAGAACTTAAAAAATAAATAAATAAATAATACAAAGTATAATTTCTTACCTTTTACTGTATTTTTGGGATGAAATATGGCTTGGACTCATTCTGTACAGGTTTTGTGAGATTCACCCTGTTTCACCCTGTTTTTTTTACTCAGATAACAATCTACTTGTCAATCAATGAAAGCAATGAAAGCAAACCTGACAGTTTTTCCTGTCCATAAAATATGCTCAGAATTCCAGCACAGGCGCCTCTGGCCAATAGTAATATAATTGCATCCTGTATTGTTATGCAAACCAAGAGTATATTTGAATCAATACGTGCGTTTCTATATTTAGTAGCACTGCAGGCCGGATTGTCGCCAGCGAGAGTTGAGCAAATCATCGCAGTCACTTACAAGCGGCTCCATTATTGAATATTGTAGCAGGTTTGTGAGTTTTCTGTGGATGGAGAGTCAATAGAGTGCGGTTTGCTCTGCTGAACTAACAGATATTTGATCATGTAGTCTCAATGGATTTTCAGAAGCGGAGTCTGAGCTCGCTGGCGACGTCTTCTGCAAGCTGATTTCAAGGGTTCCTGGTGCCTGTCTTCATATTGCTTTTGCCCGACTCCCCGTCACAGACCATCTCCATCCCCTGTTGCCATGGCGCTGGTGAAGCTCCCGCCACCATACGCGGGTTTTCATAGATGAACCGTCTGTGTGAGAGATGCTTTCATTATTCAGACAGCCTTGGCACGCACTTGCAATTATCATAAATATTATATCATAGTCATATAATAGGGAAACTATATCGAAAAAATAGCAACTGCACTGCATCGTAGTTGCACGCATGCAGGGACCTTCACATGTTCAGAAAATGCGCACATTTGCATTGTTTGGTTTCCCGTCAATGTCATTTCTGCATGTTTTGATTTCAAAGTTAGTAGGCTAAATGCGAGTTGAGTTGGAAATGACCTCGTGGCCTTGTGAATATTAAAGGAGATGTGTTTCTTGTCCTGTGTTAGTGTTTTAGGTCAAAGCTCTGAACAAATGACATCCTGGATGTCTTTATATAATCTCCTGGAGTCTGCTGTCCTCCCGCGTTCACAGAAGTGTGTCACGCGCACAAAAGTGTGTCAGCAAGGGCTGGGGATTGTAGCCCATCCAAAATGTCTAGAAAGGAAGAGAAGTATACTATAGAAATAATGAAAATTTATTAATTTTGTGAAATTATAATTGGTTGTTTTGTGCCAATTTATCCTTATAGAAAGTTTTGTTTAATCACAGATGTGGATTTTTTAAAAGGCCAATAATGTGCAGAAACACAGATTTAAAAGAGATATAATATGTGTAATACCTAATATATGTTTTATAAAATATATCTCTGTTTCTTCCAGGCAGAGTGTTTGTGTATTTTTCAGTAATTCTTTCTGCAAGTTGCATCGTTACGCTAGTAGGTGGCGCAGTAGTTCTTTATAAGTGAGTCATTTAATGATTCATTCAACCGATTTGTTCAAAACACTGATTTAGTCACTGAATCATTCATTTAAGTGATTTGTTAAACCATATAGATTCATGCAGGCACAAAATAAACTTATGAGTGAGTCATTGAATTGTTCACTCAACTGACTCGCTGGACCATCCCGAAACAAAACACCACTACAGTGATTTTCTCAGACACACTATTGCATTTGTTTTGAACTTTTTTGCTGATGGAACAACAACAGACAAAGCAACTGGTGATATTGTGCCAAAGACGTAGAATTTAGTAGGGACACTTGGGACATGTCCCTACCAATGTCCAGTGACTACTAAATTGTCCCTAGCAATAATTTTGATCAAACAATTCAATATATGTGTATGTTAACGCTGTTGTTGTAATTTCGGCCAAATCTCAAATAGGTCATACCATTGATATTACCTGAGAAGTGAACAAAGCCGAAGTGTTTAAAACATACGAGCACAGCTCAGTTTAATGATAAAGTTTACCGTCTTTAACTTTGTTGTTCTTTGGTGTTTATCTTCTTCTCCCATTTGCTCTTTTTACATTGACTATCACTCCATATAGACTAATACAATCAGATACAACATATACAATCATTTCTCAAATATGCACAGTATTACAAAAAGAACTGCAGTGCTCAAACTACAGTAGTCAACATTTGAAGTGGATCAAAAAAGTTAATCAAAGTTGTCCTAAGACAAGAACGCATTTTGGTTTTAGGACAACTTTGATTTAAGGTTTTGATCCACTTCAAATGTTGACTAGTATATTTCAAATATAGTGAATTAAGCTACAAACTCGATCATAATGTGCAGTGTTTCCATCTAACATGGATTTTGAGCTGCAGCTCCTCATATCAATGGAGTGTTTCACTAGTTAGCAGTAAACTGGTTACCTCATTGAATATTTTCATAGATTTGTGTAAGATGTTATCTTTTGAATGGAAAAATTCATATTTTATTTGTAAACATCATACATTTTTCGTTTATTTCAGTTAATGTCATAAAACTAGCGAGCAAACCAGTAGTAGTACTGGCAGTGTCAGAGGAACAGAGGAACAGACAAACCGATTCAACTGAGTTAGTAATTTACGCTGAAACCGCTCCAATTGATTAAAACTCGTAACTTTGATAATTTAATTCAAGCGATTCTCTAGCAAAAGCCAGATCAAAAGAGCCATTCATTTTCAAATTTCGACTTTGCATGTAATAATTTTAAAAAGCACGTATAGTGATGGGTGACATGTAGATTTTCAAAACTCCGAATCATTTAAACCAATTGTGATGCAAAAGCTCTCCAATTGGATCACATATGGCGAATCATTTAATTTAGATAGGGACATCGGATCGGGTTTGCAAATCATTTTGCAAATTGCACGATTCGCGATCCACGCTCCGAGTTCTGATCTGAAATTATGGTTCACGAATCATTATTCGGATCGGGACTTAGTGACGTGACATGTGGCCAAGTATGGTGACCCATACTTGGAATTAGTGCTCTGCATTTATCTCATCCAAAGTGCACACACACAGCCAAACCAAGACAACCTTAGAAGCACGGATTGCAAATCATTTGATTTAGATCGAAACTTTGGAGCGGGTTTGCGAGTCTTTTGATTCCGGTCGGAACTTCAGAGCGGGTTCACATCATTTGATTTAGATCGGAACTTCGGAGCGGGTTTGCGAGTCTTTTGATTTAGATCGGAACTTCGGAGCAGGTTTGTGAATAATTTCGTGAATTGAATAATTTGTGATCCACGCTCCAAGTCCTGACCTAAAATGATGGTTCGCAAATCATTATTCAGATCGGGATTTCGCAGTACATATCGCAAATCATTTGATTCAGATCAGATTTTTTTTTTGTATAACCACAGTTTTAATACACACACAGTACTGTAGCCTAGTTAAACTATGGTTAGTGTAGTTAAACAATCCAATAAACATCTTTAAAACAGAAATAAAAGTCACTTACAAAATGATATTGGATGAACATTAAAAAATCTGACATTGCCAAACAAGTGAATGAATCTTCCTCAGAAGAGACAAAAACAGCAACTCACTTCAGTGTCTGGCTTAGACTATAATTACGTACACTCTAAAAAATGCTGGGTTGTTTCAACCCAACTTTGGGTTGAAACAACCCAGCATTTTTTAGAGTGTACATAAGCTTTTTGTGAAATTTAGATTAACTAATTAATCTGTTGTTTGACCTCTTCATATTTAAGGAGGAAACTATAGTTTCCAAATTGGGAATTTCTTATGATTTTCAAGAGTATAGAAATTAGTAGAGACACTGTGACATGTCTATAGCAATATCCAGCGACTACTAAATTGTCCCTAGAAATAATTTTGATCAAACAGATAAATGTCTGTTGTCTGCTGTTAAATCCCCACCAATGCCAAAATCAATCCTACATTGTGCCTAAATATAAGTTACTCAATATTAACTTATTGTTTATGGAAATGTTGTATAAAAGAAATGTCAAAATCCCACTGTTTGTGATATTCATATTGGTAAACAACAGCACTCTTGCAGGCAAGATATTGCTTAAATATGCCCTGGCTCATATTTAAATATTGTAGTTCTGTTTTGTGTAGTTTTTTTGTGTACATTACTTATGAGCTCATAAAACAGCATGCAGAAAAAAAATAAAGGAATCAGACAAATGTGGTTTAGTTTTTAGAGTATGATAGAGTCACATTACAGGGCACCGTCACATGTCAAGTTGACAAATGTTAGAAGTTGTTTGTGGAGTACATGAGGACATTCAGGTTTTACCGTCATAAAAATTATATTCTATTTTTACCCTCCAATCATTGCTGTGTTGCATAAATGAGTATAAAGAGCAAATGCCTCTTTGTTTTGTTCCAGCTCAGTTGTAGCTCGGTCGTGCCAGCAGAATGCCGTCAGCTTTGGTTTCTGCTGCAGCTGTCAGAAAGCATATTCATCAGCATGTCCATTATACACTGCAGACGCAAATAATGCGGCGCTCTGGCCCTGCATCATTTCCTTACCAGGATATTTTAACGAGAGCCTTGCGGTTAATTCTTTGTTCTGGATCTGCGTGTGTGAATTAGTCACTATGTTTTAAGTCTGTTTAATTATTTATTTTTGATTTTCCATCATTGTTTTCTCTGTCAACATTTCCCGTGCTGTTACCTCGTGTGATGTCTGAATGGCTTTTGTGATATTTAACATCATATTGATTCGGTTCAACAGAATGAAATTGTTTTTGTGAGCTGTGGCATAAAATCTGCCCCTCCCTCTTTCAGGAAACAGATCTATTGGACATCACCTACATCAAAGATGCAAGAACGGGGAAATGCACCAAAACGCCAAAGGTAGGACTGCTGTATTCAATGCACCCAACCAGACGAATACATCCAGGCCCAAACAATATGCCAACCAATACTAGTTCCAACATATTTTAAAGCAAGAAAAGGAAAGATCATCCACACTCATGAATCTTATGTAGTCAAGTCAAACAATCCACCTCATTTTTAACGTTAAGAACGGACGCAGCCATTTTGTAACATGACTGTGCGAAACTTCCAGTGTCATTTGTTTCCAGTTAATTTTAGCGGTATGCCTACCAAAGATCGTTATGCTGCTTGATATCACATACTGGTATTTATTGTATTGTCATAATTGTAAACACTGAATTGTACCGTTTACTGCAAATTTTTGTTCTTCTAGGTAGCATTTTAATAATGTTTGGCTAACGTTCTGCCAAGGTTCTATCAAAGTTATGAACACAAGTTCTTTCAGTATCATTAATAGAACATTAGTTCCATTGGAAAAACGTTATACATTGCTCATGGAATGTTGTTTTGTTCGACTGACATTTTTTAAATGTTACTACTTGTTTCGGAATGTTCAGAGAACATTCAAAAGTAACATTCCCATAAAGTTTGAAAATGGTAAAACGGAATGTTCCCTTATAGACCAATTTGGAGTAGACGTCACAGTTACATCACTTGCAGCTGCGCGGGAACACTGGGAACAAGTGGAGGGAAACGGGTAAAATCCATGGAATAAGAGAAAAAATGTATTGTTGTGCCTTTGGATGTCAGAATCGGAATGCAAATAATTTTTATATAATACTGTCGTCAAAGATGCCATTTGAAGCTAAAAGCAGACGTTTAAACGGACAAACTATGAATGAAACCTACTATGATTACCCTACATTTAAAGCATAAATTTGATTTAAACAATAGGTCTATATAATATTCATATAGGGGACATATTGTATTAGTCCTACAGTTGAAATACATGCATGAGATACTATTTAAACAGCGTTCGAAAAACCAAAAAAAAAAAGTTTTTAAAACATTAAAAACACTGGACGTATTGAATGTTCAGAGAAATAACATGTTCATAACTTAACGAGAACATAAGCAGAATGTTCTTAGAACATATTTTTGTTAGTTGGGTCGCCTTTGTCTTTTTATCCTTCAGAAATCAAATGTTTTAGTGTTTTGGTTCATCTTGGAGATGGTTGGTCTGTCTTATAACTCACTGAGGAGATTTTTGAGATGCCTGTGGAGTAAATGAATGAGAAAAATACTGGGAAAGATGGGCGTCACTGTTAGAGATGGTGGTCTATCCATTCTCCTTCATTGGCTTGCATCCATTTATAAGCATGTCCTTGTGTAAAGGAGGTTTTAGCCATTACTACGGCAGCGTGCTCTGTTTCCCAGGCCCTATATAGGTTAATAGCTCTTGTGGGTGATAAGCATCTCTCTATGAGGGTAATGGTCTGTGCAATCTGGTGTGGAATGGCCACAGGCAGACAGACATCTGCACCCACGCTATATCTGGACTGCTGTGGTCTAAATATGGAGCCCGTGGGCTGTGGGTCTCCCAGGTGAACTCTTTCCTGACGCTCATGGACGTTATTTGTGTCTGTGAAATGAGAGAATGGCACTGGTGCCAAATGAAACGCACAAACGCAGTGAAGAGTCGTGTCATGTGTTACGCCACAGCGGATGTTAGCAGCACGTCTGTTTTAGTCTTGAGTTTATGCTGCGGATTCATTGATTTCTATGTGGCTGGTGCATCACACGGATGTGGAGGAAAAAAGCTTTGTGAAAGTGGTTGATCATGCAATCAAAATGTAATCTTTTGCATCCGGTGGTCTATGGTTTCCAGTTTCAGTTACTTATATTTTATGTTCATAGATACTTAGGTTTTATTCCAAAATTAAAACAAGGAAATACGAAAATATTGTAATTTTCATAAATACTTTATAATATAAAAATAATAAAGAAATTATTTTATATTGTTTTTTTTATAAAGAAAACAGGCTTGTTTGAAAAAATGCTTGTTTATAGTATTATTGTGATTTTCTTTTTTTAAAGCACATTTACTTAACCTGTTGTTTCCTGTTCAACAGTTTAAAAACAAATTTAAAATAAGAAATAATTAGAAATAATTAAAAAAGATAAAAACAAAGAAGTCATTTAAATTTGTTTTATTATTATTATTTATTCAACTTTTTAAAATAAAATAAAGCCTGTTTGTTGGAATTTTTGTCATTTTTAGCAGTAATTTTCAAGCACTTTTACTTTACCTGTTGTTTGCTGTTCAACACACACAGTTTAAAAAATGCAAAGGAAAAAAGCAAAGGAACAAGGCAAGGGTTTGTGAAAGTGGTTGATCATGCAACCAAAATGTAACAATATATTAACTTTTGCATCCATTCTAGGTGGACTAGATGTAGTTTCCAGTTCCAGTTGCTGGTATTTTATGCTCATAGATCCTTGATTATCCCAAAATTAAAAGAAAGCAATAAGAAAATTTGATATAAAAAATACATTTATTTAAAACTGCATTTTAACATTCACTTTCAAGCGCATTTACTTCACCTGTTTTTTGCCGTTGCTGGTTAGTCTGATTATCAGTCTAAATGTGTTATTATTTGTTGATTTCTCTTCAAACTTCTGTACAGTGGTGGTCAGAGTGAATCCTGCAGTCTCTCTCTGCACTGTGATATAAAGCATCTTCTCGGAGCGAGTGCGCTCTGACTCAGTGTCATGATTGAGAGTGATTCTGGGAAACGCAGTGTGCTGGTGTCGAAGCAGCTGAATAAATCTTGTAGCGGCGCGTTATGAAGGCATCCACGAGCCACAACAAACCGTCCATCCACCCTTGGATGTAGAGGTCGAAGCCATTCCCACAGACACTGTATGTGTAAGAGAGAGTGAGACATGATGATTCTGATGATCGATTGAGCCACTCAGCACACAATAAAACATCATGCATGAAGCTGCTGGAGAAATGCTGCTCTCACCGGCTGCTGTTTTGGATAAATAATTGGTTGTTTGTGGCAGGGCTGAGTGATATTGAATGTTTGCTCAATGTATTATTTAGTTAAAGTTATAAAAATTAACCAATATTGTGAATCACCACCATCATGATTTATATAGGCCTTTTTGTTTTGTTTGGGTGCTTTTTTAATGCATATATGGTGGTAATTTCAGGAAAATTATACTGTAAATATCAAGCTATATATATATATATATATATATATAAAATGTGTGTATATGTATGTGTGTGTGTGTGTGTGTGTGTGTGCATATATATATATATATATATATGTGTATATATAAAGACTTATACATTTATATATATATAGCAAGTGTTTATATATGTAATAAGTATAGATTTATGACTTTTTAACTTTGTATTATTAATAACAATAAATTTATTAATTATACTTTTTTATTTTTATTAATAATACGTTTTAGTAAGTTATATGTTGTTATTATTATTATTATTATTATATTATTATTATTTACATGTACAAAGTTATTATGTACTATTGTAGACTTATGATTTAGGATTATTGAATTTCTAAAATAATTATTTTATTTTAAAAATTAATACACTTTAATAAATTATTAGATGATTATTATTATTTAATAAATATGTTTTTAAACATATATGCATTTACTTGCATTTACCACAGGTTTCAAAACAAAACAAAACTGAGAGTAATGATGCTGAAAGTTTGGCTTTGATTACAGCAATAAATTACATTTGACAATATATTCAAAAGAAGACAGTTATATTGTAATAATATTTTACAACATTACTGTTTTTATTGTATTTTTAATAAGATAAATGCAGCCTTGGTGGGCAGTAGAAACCTATTATTTTTTATTCATTGTTATGTTATGTAGTGTAGTGTAGTGTTGTGTTGTGTTGTGTTGTGTTGTGTTGTGTTGTGTTGTGTTGTGTTGTGTTGTGTTGTGTTGTGTTGTGTTGTGTTGTGTTGTGTTGTGTTGTGTTGTGTTGTGTTGTGTTGTGTTGTGTTGTGTTGTGTTGTGTTGTGTTGTTGTGTTGTGTTGTGTTGTGTTGTGTTGTGTTGTGTGTTATCCCCTTTCTTTACTTCATGGTAAGTCATCAAACTCCTACTCTAATCTCCTGTGTTTTGTTTGTCCCAGAGTAGCAGGTGACTCCTAATTGCAAGCTGCTTAACTAACTTTTTTTTATTAAGAAAGGAATTTGAATGAGATTTTAATCACTAGTGCGCTGAGACCATGAAAAATATCCTGCTGCTTTTGTTTGCAATTGCTTCTTTATATGAGCCATTAAAGATGTGTTGTTAATTGAAATGAAGAAAGATGCCATTGATTTGTTGTGCGCTTGTGAAGCCGACAGCAGATGAATACGGAAGAGAGCGGAAGAACTGCTCATCTTTCAGGAGTTTTTCGCTTGTTCTCCAGATCTTGATTTGTCGTTAAAGCTCCCGGCGAGAACAATAGCGGCCTGTTAATTACGCCATTGAAAAATAGAGAAGATAATGAGACGGTTATGTCATAAATGTATATGATTCATATTAAAACCAATCACATCGTCTCAAGCAGTAGTGGGTTGTTTACATGTGCCCATCTGTTGAAAAGCAACCAGAGCTTTGCTAATGGCGCTGCTGCTGGTAACGACCATATGCTCGAGGAACGGCTGTTCCCATTCATCTGTGAGAGTCTCCCAGTGAAGTCTGCAGCTTGTCTGAGCATGTGTATTGGCATACATACTAGGGGTGTAAGAAAATATCGATACACGTGAGTATCGCGATATTTTGTTTGGCGATACTGTATCGAGCCCTCTCCCGCAAACATTCTAATATTGCATATAATTTTCGCGTATCAGGGAGCTCTGGATCCGTTGAGTAGCAAATCCTCCACCATGGTCTTGTAGGTCATCCCTCCTCTCGACCCATGATCAGTCAAATCTGACTCCTGCAAGCACTTATTTGTTCCCCCTTTACTCGTACTGCACAAAAAGTGGTTCAATAGACCAATTCAGAGTAGACGTCACAGTTACGTCACTTGCAGCT